TGAAGCAACTAAGGCCCCACTGTCCATAGTGGTGACCAGCAGATTGACCAAGGCAATGAGCTGATTTCATAAAGAGATAGCCATGATTTTGCTGCTGACGGACAGCCTCTCACATCAATCTAAAACACCCCTCCCTTTGCTGAACAAAACCTATAGGCCTGAGGGGGGGGGGTCCTTGTGGGCGATATAGGACTTTTCTGCCACCCTTGTGACTCAACTCCCCCCCCCACCGCCCCGTCTTTTCTTGGAGTACATTCCTGCACAGTGGCCAGGAATCGCCACTCCTCTGCCATAAGAACAGGAGACAGAGGTTAGAGAGAAAGGAAAGGTGCAGGAAGGGTATCCCACCAGGGGGAGGGGGTCTTGGGGGCACGTGTGATACCCTGAAAGTGGACTTCCAGATGTTGGTGGCTTTGATCAGTCCCTGCCATTCTCTAACTAGAGTCAAAAACAGACCGTAGCAATGCCAGGGAGCCCAACCAGCAATGGCCCCTCCCTTTTAAAAATGTAACCGGTCCAGGTAACCAGCACCTCTAGTAGCAGCCTCCCTGTGGAGGGACACACACACACACACACACACACACACTTCCCTAAGCAAGCCCCACTTCATGAGCAAGGAGTATAATTTGCTGAATGGTGCAACCTGGAGGGAGGACAGGAGGCACTGCACTCAGAGAACGGAGGCAGGCAACTGGCCTGTGACTGCAGCCAAGAGCTTAAAGAACAGTCCTTTCTGCTTCCAGGCAGAGAAGAGACATTGTTTTTGCCTCTTTCTTCTTTGCAGTTCATATCCAAGAGGCTTCCCCGACCCCAATCCCCAGCACCATCCTCAGAGTGTCAGGTCATCTAGTGCCAGTGCCCAAAGGCAAGCAGGTCTGGGCCCAGGAGGGCGGCTCTCCCGTGCGGAATCCTTCCCTGGTGGCTCCCAAAATCTGGCGGTTTTTCTGCCGCCTTTCCCTCCCGGGAGCCTCCGGAGAGGCTCAAAAAAATCTGGGCGCCCGCTCGCTCGCTTGTCAAGAAGCAAACTGTCTTCACATTCTCCAAGAGCAACATCCCTGCCTAGGAAGAGGAAGGAAGAGGCAAAATAAATAAAACCAGTTAATGTTGTAGTTAACTTGCAAATCAAGTAAATCTGTTGGTGCCGTATTTGAGAAATAAACCATCAGAGCGTCACAGCAAACACACACTTCTGAACGTCTTCATTTTGATTTAATGGTATATCAGCGTCAACTATCGCTTCCTCTGCTGGTACACACGGCCTGATGCCGCGGGAGGAGGATGCCCATGTTTATCACCGAGTGAGATGACTAATTACACCTTGTCAATCACCGGCTATGAAGACATAAAACCGGCGCGCACAATGAAGTAGTTGCCTGCAGCGTCAATTAGTTGGCGATTCGGAGGTTATTGCGTGGCCCGGCTTTGGCCGCCTCTAATAACGGGGCAGAGCTCCCGGAACAGCGCGCTGATCAATCACCCTCCAGCCGCGGCCCCGGCCCCCGGCCCCTCCTTCCCCTCCCAGCTTGGCCTCACTTTCTCTGGGCAGCATGTGCTTCCTCCCTCGG